CTGCATTCATTTATGGGATGAAAAATAATATGAAACTAATATCCAAGGCCAAGGAAATCAGGCCAGGAAGACTGGTCAATGGTTGGAAATTACCACAAGGGTGTGGGGGTGGAGGGTAGTTAGGATAGAGGAGGATCCATAACAACATTAGTTAGAAATGATCACTCCAGACAAGAGCGGAATGTTGAAAGTAGGTAAAGGGATATACATGATAACCTTTCAGTGTCTGTATTGCAAACCAACATGCCTAAAATGAGAGAGAGAAAGAGAGAGAAGGAAGAGAAGTACCTGCATAGAACCTGGGAGGGGTCGAGGGCAGTTTGGGGGGTTGGAAGGGAAACTTGGGACACTGGTGCTGGAAAAGTACACTGGTGAAGGGATGGATGTTGGAACTTTATATGACTGAAACCCAATCTCATGAACAGCTTTGTAGTGCTCTATCTCACGGTAATTCAATAAAATAAAAAATTAGCATTAAAATTATGGCTTAAAATTACAAATTAATTTATTAATAACTAGAACAAAATTTAAAACTAGCAGTGCAGTATGAGCTCATAAAATAAAATATACAATGAAAAAAGAGCAGATATAAAAAGTAAATAAAATGTACTTAAAAAACATTGCTATTTATTGAGGTATCATAGCTTACATGATATAATGGTGGTTGTCTTAAAGTTGCAGAGCATTATATCAATCTCCCTCTATTACTGATTCCAAATCCCCATCATTATCCCATAATCCCTTCCACATCCCTGGCTCAGTTCCACGTTCCACTGATCATGTTTCAGGATTTGTATCCACTGGGTACTATCTAATCCCCTTCTTAGTTTCTTTATACTCTGCCTATGACTGAGATCTTCCAGTATTTATCTTTGACTTCCTGACTCACTTTACTCAACACTGACACCCTCCAATTCCCCCTCTCCAATCCCCGTTGTGATAAACTGTAAGATTTCATCTATTCTCTCAGTTGAATTGTTTGTATATATACATACATCACCGTTTCTTTACTCACTCATCTATTGTCAGGTATTTGGGTTGCTTCCAGAGCCTGGCTATTGTAAACCGTGCTGTTCTGAAATTCAGGTCTTAGAATAGGGAAATTGTGACACTAATAACAGGAGAAAGGACAATAAAGGGTGCTGATGTACGCTGTAGCCATTTCAAACATTATGTGGTCATTGTGAAGAAATGTGCATTCTGAGGTTCCGTGACTTCCCCATGAGTAAATGACAACTGTAACGTGGGATATATATTAAGGACTTCAATCTCGACATGGAACATTCACAGGAGTTCAAGAGTATCCGAGGTTCATGAAGACTGGTGCCTGAAAGACGATAAAGCACAGGGCTAGGGACTGGGTTTGCAATGAATCCATTCAGTAGCAAGAATTCCCCCAGCATCCTCCTCACCATGGCTTAATGTTCGCCTATTAAGTTTCCTTTTTGCATCAAAATGCCTTTTGTTGCCTATAAATTATTAAGTTCCTTTGCTTTTTTAATATCTTAATTCATATGAATAATGTTCATATCAAGAAGAAGCAACAGCTACAAATCACCAAAGAGGGGCAGCACGTTGCAGGCTGACCCTGATGTCTTTTGATACCGGTAGCTCAAATACAAAATTTGAAGCAGCATTATAATTGCCAGATCATTTTCTGAAACAGTTGAAAAACTCTTGGTAAACTTCCAAACAGACACAAAAAAGTCAATCATCCTTCATTTACATGGTACATTCATTCCTGAATAATTGAAAATTTGTATTTTTTGGAGTACAGGTACAAGTACTAGACACAGACAAACACAAATATGTTTTTCATCTACATGAATTTGGGGGAAACATTTGAAAGTCACAAGGAGTTTATTTTTCTGTACATGCCATAGGTTGCCAAGATCCCTGACCTATGTTCCTCATTGCTAATGCATCACTCAGTCATTATGGCAACCAAAAATGGTCACTTATTCCCAAAACATTCCTTAAGGAGGAGTACCATACTGTTGAAGACCAGTAAACTAGAAGAAAGAAAAGGAGTAACTGATGGCTATGTTTTGCGGTCAAGCCAGCCCATCCTCATTCCCTGACTGAACTCTTTCTGCCTGGATTCAGAGAGCCAGGACCTGGGACATGTGGGATCACACAAAAGGCAAAGTCAAGCAAGCCATGTGCGTTTTTCCCAACTAGAACTTTTGGGGGCTAGAGAGATAGCAACTGGTTGAGGTCCTGCTGTGCATGAAGTAGTCCTAGGTTCAATTCCTGGCACCACATATGATCTCCCAGGCACTTTGAGGACTAAGTCCTGATTGTATGTACTGCTCTGTATGCAATCCCACCAGAAAACCACAAAACTGGCACAGTCTGACAACACAGACATTGCACTGAAGTATTATATATTAAGTAGTTCCTTTAAAATACAAAAATGAGAACTGGGGGAATAATACAGTGGGTATGGCACTTGTCTTGCACACAGCTGACCAAAGCTTGATCCCTGGCACCCCATATGGTCCTCAGAACCCTGCCAGTAGTGATCACTGAGCATTTCCAGGTGTTCCCCCTAACAAAAAAGTTTTTAAAATACAAAAGTGATAACTGCATAGTTATCTGATCTGAAAGAAGGGAGTTGTGAAAGTTGGGAGAGAAAAACAAGGAAGAGAAGAAAAGAGAAGAAGATGGAAGTTGAAGATGATAATAAAGTTAGTTTCGTTCGTGATCCTATAAAACTTTAACCCAGTCACCTACTTTTGTATATACAACTCACTTCTTCTAAAGAAAAAAAGACTTTAGGCTGTTTATTCAAAAAGTAATTGCTCTGTAATTAAATAACATTCTGTAGTTTAAAAAAGTTTCCTTTGTTTTCGTGAACTTCATAGATATCAAGATATGCTCCACGTTGGTTAGAGAGGAGCAGCTATAGGCATGTCTTTATTTCTGCATGTTTTGTGTAAATTCATGTGTATATAGGTGTTGGAAAGAGCTAAGGTGATATTCACTGCAGAGGCAATGGTGGCCCAGAGAACAACCCAAGAAAATCATCCTGAGAAACCTAACTACTCATTTCTCTCCTCTAGTCTATTCTTGAACTAATGAACATTCATTGTTAGGGAAAACTGCATGGCCAACAGGGCCAAAATGATAGTGTGTGTAACAGGCCGAGCACACTCTTTATATGCAGGAGGTTCACTCCCTGACACCACATGGCCCCTAAGCACTAATGGGAGTGCATAGGGAGACCCCCCCAAAAATTCCATGAAGCAAGTTGGTCCCACCCAAGAGTTTTAATTTGAGACCATGCTTGGGCCTCCAATGAAGCAATAGCCCTTTGCTTCCACTGTGCCTATCCTCGAAGGTACTGATTCTCAATCTGTTCTATTTTTTTTCATGTGCTCAAAGTCCACTTGTTCTTATGTTCCACAGAAAACTTAAATGCATTTTGACCAGAAAACAATATTTTATTTTAAAGAATCAGGGATATCTTAAAAAAAAAATGGGGCAAATGGCATCTGTCTCAGGAAAGACTTAAGTCTTTCCAACCTTACTTTTTGCTCTTTCCTAGCTTCTGTGCCCACTAACCATATAGCAGACCCCCAGTTCCAAGAGAGAACCAAACTAACGTAGCTTGGATAATACCCAATGGCCAAGTCCGTCTGAAATGACTTAGTGGTGACTAGATTTGCCTCCTGGCTAAAATAACTGAACAAATAAAATATAAACTCACTTGGGTTTTGAACCCGAGTATCAAAATTTTTAGGGTGGGGATCCTTGAAACAGATGAATCTTATTATTCACAGCCACAGATCACTTCCTAGGCTGCAGCATGCAGAGGGAAAGTGTAAATCTCCCTGAGTTGCAGAGATATAACTGGCAGAACTGGTAGGTCATGGAAGCCATGGGACTGAAGAGTGAACCATTAGAGATTTGGGGGCTGGAAAAGGAGTGGGAGGGGGGAATGCGGAGAGAGGGAGTAAGAGAGAAAGAGAAAGAGAGAGTGGGAGGGAGAGAAAAGAGGAGATTTTGGGAATCAGAAGGAACCCTTGCTGTAGGCTTGGAGTAGTTTGTTTACACACGCCCCCCCTAACACACAGTGGAATGCTTGAAAGGGCATGGCAATCACCCCAGTCTCTGGAACCCATCTGGCCCTGAGGTTGACACTAGTCTTCCTACTAGGCCTTAAAAGTAAATATATAAGAGCCCAACTGTTTCCAAGTAACTTAACTGCATCCTGAAACCAAGCTCCAGAAGAGAATGTTTATAGGAAGACAAAAATATCCATCAAGCAAGATGTTAAAATTAATGATTTTGGAATCCAGTTAACCCTATAAACAAAGCAAGGAAGCAGAAAAAATGAACAGGAACCAAGCACTGTCTGGGAAAATCTATTCACGTTCTAGTCTCTCCTGTTCTACCTTAAAGCTATTACCAATTTCTTCTTTAAACCCCAAGTTTTTGACATATTACAAATGAACGCCCATTATTCTGTTATTTTATTTTAAAGTATGTGGAGGTGGAAAGGAGAGAGAGAGAGAGAGAGAGAGAGAGAGAGAGAGAGAGAGAGAGAGAGAGAGAGTTTCTGCAGCCCTTAAGGACTCACGTTCTCTATTCCCCCCCCCCCCCTTGCTTGTTTCTCCAGAAAGTTCCCTTTCTACCTGTATTTCTGCTTTGCCTTCCCTTTCCAGGTTTTAAACCAAACCAGAAACAGCTTTTGGGGGGAGAAACTTCAGTTTCTGGGTTTTGATTCCTTTCCTTCTTCTTTTCGCACCAGCAGAGCCATCCACCCACTGGGCGCGTTCTCCGCCTCTCGCGGGCGTGCGCGGCGTGGAACCCCGACCTCCCGCTGCCTCTGCCCAGGCTGCCGGCGCGCCGGGCACCTCCCTCGCCCGCTGCGGCCCCTGCGCGGGGAGAGCGGGCGAGCGGGCGGGCGCGGAGTCGCGAGCGCGGGCCGGGCGGGGCGGGGCGGGGGGCCGGGCGGGGGGCGCGGGCGGCTCGGGGCGGAGGCGCGGGCGGGCGGTCCGGCGGGAGCACCATGGGCGAGGGCAGCCGCGAGTGCTCGGGCTACTACGGCCTCGACCACAGCTTCGTGGAGCCCTTCGCGTGCCCGCGGCGCGGCGAGGGCGCCTCGCTCGTCTACTGCTGCGGCTTCGCCGACCTCAAGTACTGCTGCAGCGAGCCGGGCAGCTACTTCCCCTACAAGCACAGCTACATGTGGAGCCTCAGGTGGGCGCGCGGGTGGAGCGGGGACCCCCAGCCCCCGCGCACGGGAGCGGCCCCGGGTGGAGGAACCCGGGCGGGAGCCGGGACCCGCCCCCTGGCAGGCGAGGCGAGGGCTGGGGGTGCCCGCGGGGCCGAAATCCGGCGCCGGGACCCAGCGGGGCGCGGAGTGCATCCCTGCTCCGGGCGCACCTCTGTCCCCAGCGTGTCCCTGCTCCCCTCTTAACCCTGCCCCGGGCACGTCCCTGCTCCGGGCGCACCCCTGCCCCGGGGGCACGTCCCTGCTCCGGAGGCACCCCTGCCCCGGCCGTGTCCCTGCTCTGGGTGCACCCCCGCCCCTGCTCCGGGGGCACGTCCCCGCTCCGGGCATGTCCCCTCTCCTCTCCGGGGCACCTGTGCGAGTACCGCTGCTGCCCTTAGGCACGGGGCTCTGCCACACCTGATAACCTAAGGAAACAGCTCTCTCTCTCTCTCTCTCTCTCTCTCTCTCTCTCTCTCTCTCTCTCTCTCTCTCTCTCCCCCCCCCTCCTCCCTTCCCTCTCCGTGTGCCCGTCACTCTCTGTCTCTTTGTGTCTCTGTCTCCGTCTCTGTCTCTCTCCCCCCCCTCTTCTCTCCTCATTGGGGGTACCACACCTAGCGGTGTTGGGGGAGGGAGGCTGAACCAGGGTGCCTGTCGGAGGCGCTTGGGATCAAATCTGGCCTCCGGCGTGTATCCCTCCAGGGCCCATCTCTCTTTTCAAAAGTATTGGTTGTGTTGAGTAGGAAGGAGTTCCTCTGAGACCCAGTTTAAGACATTACAAGGATCGGAGTATTCTCTTCCTGATCTCTTTAGGAGAGAGCCGGGATTGGCTGTATTCTATACCTATCAAGGGGACCGAGACATAGGATAGTGCAGGGGTTTAGCCGCTTGCCTTGCGTGGAGGCTTGCACTGGTCTAGCCTGGGCACTGCATATGTTCCCTGAGTACCACCAGGAGTGACTTCTGAACACTTAGCCAGTAGCAAGTTGAGTACCATACGGTGTGGTCCAACGTCCTCTACCCCCAATAGGAGAGAGAGAGAGAGAGAGAGAGAGAGAGAGAGAGAGAGAGAGAGAGAGAGACAGACAGACAGACAGACAGACAGAGAATGTATGTATCTGTGTATGTGCGCACGCGTGCCCTGTGAGATGCTGCACTTTTTTTCTTTTCTGTTGATCTGACACTGAGCCCTCACCAAATTGGAGGCACACAACGAGGCAGAGTTTGGTTACACAGCTCCTACAACCTTTCCAGGTTACTCAGTTCTTAACACCTGAGCCTTTTGGCCATTGCTGAAAAAGTAAAGAGACTTTCTAAGGTGGAGCCTTGTTACCTTTATAGCCTCCCCTCTCTCCCCCCCATTATGACAGGAATTTTATTTTATTCCAACAGCTATTTTGCAGATGCAGGCATTTTAACTTTGGAGTACCCTTCCCTTTCTTCATTCCAAAGGATTGAAAATTTGAACTTGATTCTATTAATTTTGAGAATGAATGGGGCAGGGGAGTTACAGAAAAGAACCCCCATCCCGCCTTCAACAATGCCTTATAAACAATTAGTTCTTTTTAAAAAGCTGTTAGTCACAGTGAATTGCAAAGTTGTTAATGATTTCAGGTATCTAATGCTTCAACACCAATCCCTTCACCAGTCTTCCCTTCCCTCCACCTGCGTCTCTAGTTTCCTCCCACCCACCAGGCTGCCACTAGGAGAGGGACTTTTAAAATAAATTTTAGGCACTGTGGTTTACAACATTATTACTAATAGGTAAATCAATTGGTTCCTTTCTGCAGAAAAGAGAAACTCTGCAGGTAAGAAAAGTTATTATTTTTTCCAATACCAATAGCATGACCCAGGATTTGCTACACACACCAAATCTACCACAGAGGACTTTACATGCCATTTCTTAAAGCAATAAAAGCAGTTCTATGTATTGTTACCTTCAAAAGTATCTCAGAAGTGGTGCCCATGTATCTGCTTTACCTCACAAAGTTTTATTAGGCCTGAGTGCTACAAAATTTCAAGAAGTAATGGCAGTTTATTCTCATTATTTAGGAAAGCAATCTGTATAGAACTGGCATTGTATCTGGTCTTCTGAAAAATAACTTAATAACCCAGCTTGGAGTCTTTGGAATTGTTAGTAGAGGCAGCACCTCCTGCAGAGCCTGGCAACTCTTATGTCAAACTCAGTGGGGAAAAGTCTGCTATTCTCAGATCCTTGAATTGTTTCAAAGTGACACCGATATACAACCTTCCCCAGATAATAGAGACCCAAAGGAGCAAACAGCTTGATGGAGTCTAAAATTCAGCACTGACAAAACAGACTCAGCCCCTAGGAAATAGAAAATCATTTCAAATGCTGGTGTCAGTTGGCCACATTAAACCTAGGGTTCTTGTTAGTTACTAAGCTCTGAGAGTGCGTCAAGGAGGTAAAAACTTTAAAGCTCCATTTCTCTCATAGCCTTTGCTCTCTATCTCCAATCCAAAATGCTAAACTCTTTGCTCTCTCCCTGACTCTGTCTCTCTCTACATACATATGCATATACATATACATATACATATCACTGTATCACTGTATCACTGTCATCCCATTGGTCTTCAAATGACTCAAGCAGGTGCCAGTAACGTTTCTATTCCTCCCAGCCCTGATTTTTAGCAGCCTCTTCTTACTCATCTTTTCCCAACAATTGGAGGCTCTTTCAGGGTCAGGGGAATGAGACCTATTGTCATTACTGTATTTGGCATACCAAATACGCCACAGGAAGCTTGCCAGGCTCTGCCCATGTGGGCGGGATACTCTCCGTAGCTTGCCGGGCTCTACTCAGGCTGTAACTCTTTTGGGGTACCCAAGTTGCTAGGTAGGAAAATTGTGGTATTAATGTGGTATCAACTCACCCCTCTCTCCAGGTTTGAAAAGCAAAATGTCAGGGCTTACTCAGAGTGAATATATAACATGTAGGTAGAATGATAACATTGAAATGAGGCATTGAGCTTATGAGAATTGTCCTTTTTTAAAAGCCAAAGCAGCATGCTCTACTCTAACTTTTCTAAAATGGTTACACTAAAATACATTCCTGCATTATACTCTTTGGGGTGGAGAGTGGGATAACGTCCACACCCCACCCAGCAGTAAGCCGGGCTTGCTCCTGGCTCTGTGCTTAGGGAATTCTCCTGGAGGTGCTCAGGTAATCATATGTGGTGCTGATATCAAACAAGGATTGGCAGAGTGCAAGGCAAGTATCTTGACGTCTGCATTTTCTCTCTGGATCCATATTAAACAGTTTCAAAAAACTTCACAAAACTAAGGCAAAGTCATCAGAAGTATCTGATCCTTGTAGAACTATAATGTTTTATATATATGTATATATGTGTGTATAATGTATGTATATGTATATATACACACAATATATACACACACACAAAAACATATAGTTTAAGGAAGCACATGTCTGTAAATCAGTCTTTGAAATGAGTCACTTTTTCCAAGAACCTTCTTCATTTAAAGGTTTAAGTTTAAATATTTATGGCATTTTAATGTTATTTTTCAAATAATTATATTTATAGATAACTCTGTCATAGGGACCTACAAATTTATTGCCGGTAAAGACAGAGAAAACCAACAGAAACAAACCTATGAACTCAGCCTCCGGAGCTGTAGTTACAAGAGCTGAAGGCTGTAGTAACACAATATTGGTACTTTGGTCTTCTTTTTGGTGTGTTGACACATACTTTGAAGATGTTGTACTGCTAAAATACATATAGTCTTGTGAACTACTACTGTCTTAGTTCAAAAATTAATTAAAAATTTAAAACCACACAAAAATTAACCCCTACCAAAATGGATTCGGAGAAAGTAAAAATCAGATATACCCTTAATTTTTAGAGAAAAACACAAAGATTTCTTCCTTACTGCTAGATGACATGCTGTTTTTAAAAGGAAAAACTCATGCCAGACATAAAATTTATACTATTGTCACAAATATTGTGTTCCTTTAATTCAAACCTTTCTTTTCTTTTTTGAAATAGTTGATTAGGTCTTATAGACACATAAGTGATATCTGGTATAAATGTCACCCAAAGAATTTCTGTTTCTGGCAAACACTTGCTTCACTATTTTCACAGAAGTAAATTCATCTGTGGTGGTATAGATGATATTTTCTTCTAAAATATCTAAATGAATTATTTGATTGAGATTTTTTAATTATGTTTAGAGAATCAAGTGACGTGTTACCTGTAAGATGGATACTTGATGGGATTCTGCATTACTTTTAACACACAAATACAAAAAATAATAATCTGAACAAAATGTTACACATAGATTTCAATAGTATTATTGAAAATTTGATTTGACAGAATGACAGAATAAGTGAATGACAAAACACTAATGACAGAACAAAAATTCATTAATGAGGGCTGGAGCGATAGCACAGCGGGTAGGGCGTTTGCCTTGCACACGGCCGACCCGGGTTTCATTCCCAGCATCCCATATGGTCCCCTGAGCACCGCCAGGAGTAATTCCTGAGTGCAAGCTAGGAGTAACCCCTGTGCATTGCCAGGTGTGACCCAGAAAGCAAAAACAAACAAACAAACAACAAAAAATTCATTAATGAAGTGTGAACATGTTCTTTTGTTGATGTGCAAGCCAGTTCATGTGACATTCATCTGCTCCTTTGTTTTCCACAGCGTTGGTGCCCTAATCGGACTGGGAATTGCTGCCCTTGTTTTACTTGCGTTTGTCATCAGCGTCTGTGTTCTTTGCTATTTATTTCTGTACACAAAGCCTCAAAGATTAGACAATGGCCTTAAACTTCAGCATCTAGCAGCTTCTTCTACTCTAGAAGGTAATTAGTATTTATTATTTGCAACCAATTGCCTGTATTCTTTTTGAAAGAATGAACTGTATCTAGGTAACAGATCATACTATTAACAGTGAGCGCTTTCTACAAATTCAATTCATTGTGTCTTTAAAAACACATACTCGGGGGCTGGAGCAATAGCACAGTGGGAAGTGCATTTGCCTTGCACACGGTCGACTTGGGTTCGATTCCCAGCATCCCATATGGTCCCCCGAGCACTGCCAGGAGTAATTCCTGAGTGCATGAGCTAGGAGTAACCCCTGTGCATCATCGGGTGTGACCCAAAAGCAGAACAAACAAACAAAAAACCCATACTCAAAATTAGTCCTCCAAGATGAAATAGTACTGAAAGAAAAACAGTGGGCTATAAAAAACTCTTGTGGAAAGATAAAACTAGTCCTATAACTTTACTTATTTAATATTTATGTTCCGTTCAGGAATAAAACTTTTATATTCTTTGGAATTTAATTCAATTTATTTACTCGGTTTTGGGGCGACTCCCAGTGGTAGTCAGGGCTTGCTCCTGGCTCTGTGCTCAGGGAATTTATCTATTTTAAATTTTTAGATGTGTTTTAGATGTGGAGGAGCTTGGGAAATCATATGTGGTGTCAGGGATTGAATCAAGGTTAGTTGAATGCAATATAAGTACCCTACTCACTCTATTATCTCTCCAGTTTTACTCTTAAAAATTAGAATGTTTGATGATTGGTTAAAGAAACTTTGGTCCATCTACACAATGGACATATGTAGCTGTTAGAAAAGATGAAGTCATGAAATTTACATACAAGTGTACTACATGGAAAGTATCATATTAAGCAAAATGACTCAGAAAGAGAGGGATAGACATAGAAAGATTGCATTCATCTGGGGAACATAAAGTAACAAAACAGGAGACTAACACCCAAGAGTGGCCGAGATTAGTACCAGGAATTTTACTCCATGGCTTGGAGGCCAGCCACACATGCTAGGGGGAAAGGCAGCTCAGATAGAGAAGGGAGCACCAAATAAAGGGTGTTGGGAAGATCCTCCCAGGATGAGAGAAGCATGCTAAAAGTAGACTATAGACCAAACTTGATTGCCACCCATTGCCTCTTTTGCAAACCACAACACCCAATAGGAGAGAGAGAACAAAAGGGAATGCCCTGCCACAGAGGCAGAGTGGGATGGGGGGGGGGGGATGGGGGGTGGGAGGGATACTGGGATCCATGGTGACGGGAAGTGGGCACTGGTGGAGGGATGGGTATTTGATCGTTGTATAATTGAAACCCAAGCACAAAAATTTGTAGGTCTACAACTGTACCTCATGGTGTCTCACTAATAAAAGTAAAAAAAAGAATGTTTTTGAAGGAAAAAGATAAAGTAAGCAGAGAAACAAGATGTCTAATAATTCTAAGTGTTGTGTTACTGTAGAACGTTAGTCTAAGGTCAAAGTAGCACAAAGTAGCATTTACTTATGAACCTATGGAATGCTGAATTCTGAACAAGCATATAAAATAATTCATAGTCACATAACAGAAAATCAAATAGAAGATAGTCTTTGTTCTTGAATAGATAACAAACTGATATAAGTATGTGTCTGTATCTGTGTGTAGTATAATGATAAAGTAAAATAAATAATGTTTGGCTTATGGAATTTTTTCCATAATTTTATTTATTTATTTATTTTCCTTTTTATATTTATTTATTGAATTACTGTGGGAAAAGTTACAAAGCTTTCAGGTTTAAGTCTCGGTCATACAATGATCAAACACCTTTCCCTTCACCAGTACTCATTTTTCACCACCAAGAACCCCAATATACCCCCCTCCTATCCTTCCCAATGCCTGTGAGGCAGATGATTTCTACTTAACTCATCTCTACATTGATTACATTCATTATTTCGACAAAAGATGCACTATTATTGTTTAGGATTTCCCCCCCCCCGCCCCCAACAATCAGAACTGCTGAAAAGGCATTGTGAAATACTTTGTTTTCTATAGCTGGTTATGAGAGTCATATAATGTCACACAAAGAGACAGATAATTACGAGATTGGTTTCTGTGTGTCTGGTGTTATGACTGTGCCGGAGAGCCACTTGTGGGGGGCACTCGTGACCTCAGTGGGGCGTGAAGGACGAGCCGGTACCACCCTCCTTCCCATGAGACTGCAGTTGCCCCGTCACTGCCAGCTCAAACCTGGCTTTCCAATAAGCTCTGAGACAGTGGCCACCTTGCTGCTGGGGGGGCGGGGGGGGGGGAGGTAGAAGGGAGCAACACCCTTTCCCTCCCGGGGAGGCATGGTACTGTAGTTTAACACATGGTCCACTTATTTTTCTGCTGCAAGCTACCGGGCTCTGAACTAAGTCGTTTTGCCTCTGGAGCCATGGCCATGCCAGAGAGCCGCTCATGGGGGGCAACTCGTGACCTCGGTAGGGCGTAAAGGACGAGCCGGTACCACCCCCCTTCCCATGAGACTGCGGTTGCCCCATCATTGCCGGCTCATAACTGGCTTTCCAAAAAGTTCTGAGGCAGCAGCCATCTTGTATGCTGTCCAGATGCATTTCTGCCAAAGGCCGCTGGGTTTCGAGATTTGTTTCTGAGTCTCTGGGATCATGGCCATCATGGCAGCTTGATCAGGAGCCAGAGAGACCGTTTGTAGGCGGCGACTCAGGGTCTCATGGGATGGAGAGGAAAGGGCCGGTTCCACCCCCATCTGGTGAGGCCCCATGTGTCTCGTCACTGCAGGAACAGGACGCATTTTCGCCAAAAGCCTTTGGGTTCTGAGATTCACCTCTGAGTCTCTCGGATCATGGTCGTCAAGCAGTTTGATCAGGAACCAGAAAGGCCATGCCTCCAATTATATAGCTGAGCCGGAGGTGGTTTGTGGGTATGTCTCCCACATACCTAACTTTTGACTGTTTACTTTCTTGGTAAACTTGGCCCCAAGTTTTTGGGGTCTGGCCAAAGGCACAGCAGCAATTTGGGGGTATCTGAAAGTCTGATGGTGCGATCAGGCTGCTGATGCACTCGCCTCACAGGTACAGATTGACCTGCTGGCGGCACCATACTCCCTGGAATTTGGTTTTATGTTTTTTATTATACAGTGTTACACAAATTCTGTTGTCATTATGTAACTCAATCAGAATATCTAAAACATTATATCAGTGAGTTAAGTTTTGAAACATATTTGATATATACATTTTAGTAAAACTTGGGATATATGTGAAATGTATAGATTATATAAATACATGTATATGTATAAAATAGGACATATAGTTTACATATAAAAATATATAAAGCATGGAAGAAGACACAAGTGCTTACTATGGTTTATTTATTTGTTGTTTTGGGAGTCATACCCATGGTGCTCAGGGTTTACTCCTGCCTCTGTGGTCAAGGACCATATGACATGCTAGAGAACCAAACCATAGGTGGGCATATGCATGGCAAGCACCTTACCTTTTCAGCCCTTTCACTTATTTTTTTTCTTTTGTGGAGTGTGTGACCACATCCAGTGGTGATCACAGGCTACTTTTTGTCGCTTAGTGGGGTGCTCAGGAGTCATTCTCTAGCCATTTCAGGGGCGGGGTGCGGGAAGGAACTGAACCTCTGTCCCTGATATCAAACATGTACTCTTTTTCCAATCCTCATTAACTTCGGAAAGAATGTGAAGACTTTTGTTTTTTGGAAGATATTAAGAAAATTCTCTGCCCATATGCTCTACTTTAGTTGAATCTGAGATACGTTTCTGGAGCATCTGTTCTGCAACCTGATCAAACACACAGCCACTGCATGATGGCGTTAGCTCCAGTGTCCTGGGTAGAAGAGAGCTCTCTCAGGGGGTTCCCAGGGTCACAGAACTACATCCCTTTGGAGAACTTTTGAAGTACTCCTTGGAGATTTTAGAGTCAAACTTACAGACTGTGAGCTGAATTTATTACAATGGCTTAAACCCAGTTTCTCCACAGTCATCAAGAAGCAGTAGATTAATGATTATCAAATAATGTTAAATTTCATTTTTGTCTCACCTGCGTGTGTGTGTGTGTGTGTGTGTGTGTTTGCTTTTTGGATCACACCTGGTGATGCACAGGGGTTACTCCTGGCTCTGCACTCAGGAATTACTCCTGGCGGTGCTCAGGGGACCATATGGGATGCTGGGAATTGAACCCGGGTCTGCCACGTGCAAGGCAAACTCCTTACCCGCTGTGCTATCTCTCCAGCCCCGCTTGTGTTTTTTTCTAACATAGCAGTTGTCCATTGTTACTGTGCCTAAGAATCACCTAGTGGTCTGGTTTAAGATGCAAATGCCAAACTCTGCGTTTTTATTCATTTTTTATTTTTTTAATATTTAGATTACTTTTATTGAGGTACTACGGTTTATAATACTGTTTATTATACTTTTCACGCACACATTATTATAAAGAGCCCTTCCATCAATGTCCTAAGGACCCCTCTAACCTCCCTATCCTCATGTAAATTCCGTTCTATCAACAAAACCTTCAGCTCTGGTGATTTTGACCATTTGTTGTTTCCTTACTACATTTATTTTTCTTTTTAATCCCATATTGGGAATAAATCTCTCTCTTTTTTCTTTATTGTGGAGGCAGTGATACCTACACAAATATGTGGCTAGGCTAATTACCTGTAATTACACAAAATTATAAATTAAGTATAAATTGATAAAGTAACTTTTTTCCAAAACTATATTTTTACTTTCATATTAATTAAAATTAATATTAAGAGTAATGATGATCTAATACATTAAGATTTACATTAAAATAGGTAAATATTACAAATGCAAAATTTAGTGAAGAGCATTAACAAAAATATAAGGATAGAATCTGAATAGGCCTGGAGGAGTAAAGTGTGTTTTGTCCTAATAATGGGAATATTGACCTTATGTTAGAAATATATTATAGATATTGCTTGAATATCTACATTAATAAGATTAGAATAAAAATCTCGATGTCAAAAAAGCACCTTATATTAAATCTCAGATATATGACATTTAATGTAAATGAAATGCTAATTGGTTACTGTGAATATATACAATCCCTTAGCAAGATAGGAGTAAATAAACCTTTCTGAATTTATGAAAGGACAACCGTAAGCTCCATGAGTAAGTGCCATACTCAGTGCCAAATACTGAGAAGCATGCTTTGCCTTTCAAGAATTTCTGTTAATGCTTTTGCAAGACTGGTTTCAAGGTTGTGAATTCCCTAAGATGTTGACCTGTTCCTAAAGTCCTAACCTGAAGATCTGTTTTCAGATCTGAATGATAATCTACCTGAATAGGTTATTCTTGGTGATTTTACTGATTTTTTTGAAATACTATATCTCTCTATTCTCTTCTGACTCGGAGACTCTCATTTGATAGATCTGCTGTGAATCTTACAGGTTTTCCTTTGCATGTAAGTTCCTTTTTTGATCTTGCTGCTTTCAGTATTCTCTCTTTATCTTTGGGTTTTTGTCATTCTGAACACAATATGTCTTAGTATCTTCCTATTTGAGTCTATGTTTGCTGGGACCCTTTGGGTCTCTTTGATCTCAGTGTCTATAATCAACTCTGGGAAGTTCTTATCTATAATTTCTTTAACTGTTGTTTCCTCATAGCGTTCTCCTTCCTGTTCCTCAGAGACTCCAGTGATTCTTATATTGTCCCTCTTGAACTCCTCCAGTAGTTTTCTGACATGCTGTTCATTTCTTTTTAGACTTTTCCTCCTACCTTCTATTGTTTTCAAATGGTTTTCTCCATCTCATCTTGGGTGCCTCAATCTTTTTCTCAGATGCTGTTACTCTGCTACTCAGAGTATCTACTGAGGTTTTTTAAAAATATAACCTACCATACTCTTTATTTCTGCCAGTAGCCTTTTCATTTTACCTCTTATACTTTCTGGGGTTTTTCTGACAACCTATGTCATTGTTATCTCGAGTTCAATTAACATCCTCACCCTGGAATCTCTAAAGTCAATATCTGAGAATTTACTGAGCTGGTTGGTGCTGGTTGATCCTTCCAGGTTATTGTTCTTACTGATTGAGCTCAGTGGGCTTTTACTTCTCTTTCCTAATGTGTTTGCTCTTTCTGGACTGAGAGTAACTTTGTAATTAGCCACGACAGGGAGTCTCTGAGAAATTAAGCTGAAATCGTTCTTACTCTTCCTTGCCTTTATTTACTTACTCATAAGAAGCAAAACTATAAGCAGTGTGAAATTTGATGGGGAGCTGTCATGTGCCCATGTATGTGGTTGCAAGATTCAGAAGCTTTGAATATTGGCCCATTGAAATAGGGTCACTGGGTCACTGTCCTCCTGTTGTTCGTCGATTTGCTCGCGTGGGCCCATTAATGTCTTCATTGTAAGACTTCTTGTTACTGTGTCTGGCATATCAAATACATCATGGGTAGCTTGCCATGCTTTGCCGTGCGGGCGAGATACTCTCGGTAGCTTGCCAGGCTGTCCAAGAGGGGTAGAGGAATCGAACCCAGGTCAGTCGGTCGACCGTGCACAGCCCTACCTGCTGTGCTATTGCTCCAGCCCATTGAAATAGAAATGAGAAATTATGCATTTTTAAACAAATGGTTCTTCTTCTATCTCTCCTTGTTCCCCAGCTATATACATTCCACAAAGTACCAGAGGGAGTCTGTTAAAGCCTAAGACCCAAGACAAATATCATATAATCTCACTTATAGGTGGTATATAAAAAAAGCAAGAAAGAGAAGAGATAATGTCCCATAAGAACAAACCCTTAGTCTCTGATATAAAACTGAGGTCACCAAGTGAAATGTTGGGTAGGTGCATGTTCATGGGAATAGGCATGGGCTAAAAGGGTCCTGTGCACAGTGCAGAAGAAAAAGGGACATTTTGGTGGTGGGTATAGTGTGGTAACATTGTACCCCTCAGCATTTATATTCTTGTAAACTAATGTTGGATCATTTTTAAAAACCTTTAGTCAAGGCATGTTACTTTTCTACTCAAAGCCCTGATTGCTGTCCATTTCTTTTCACTGAAAAGATATGACAGTCTGAACAGAGATTTAGCATTCTCAACTGTGCCGAGATCTTTGATGGTCTCTGAGATTACTGCCTCAGAGTTTTTGCACACGTTATCTTCAATGTTTAGAATGCTTTCACCTTAAATTTCTGCAAGACTTTCACTTTCATTCAATGTTTAATTTTTTTAAAATTGGAAGCCATCCTCAGCAGTGCAGAGGGAGAGTAAAAGGGGAAAAGGTTATTTTATTGTTTTGAAGGGCTACCAGGGCCACACCAGGCCAACAAGAGGGGTGCTGGAAGTGGGGCAGGGGACATGTGATGCCAGGGATGAAACTCAGGGTCTTATCCATAGCAGGTATAAACTCTGTTGCTTGAGCTAACAACCAACCTATTCCTTAAATATTTACTAAATGTCTTTTTCCCTGGCCTCTGTACTTTTAACTCCCCTCAACATTTTATAATCCTTGTTGCTTTTACTTCCTCCTAAGTATTTGCTTTTAACATATTATGTAATTCTCTTATTTTTGTTTACTTTTCCTTCTCTCTAACCAGAAAATGAGTTCCAGGAAAAGAGTCGTTTTTGTCTTGTTAAAAGTGTGTACTAAGTGCCATAGAAAGGGGCAGAGATGGCAGTCAAAAACCTTCACACTCCACAGTTGCCACCAAACTCCAGAGTCCACTGCTCAGGATGAGTCTCATCCAGAAATTAATATATTGAAAAACTAAGGTATGCAAATTTTGTGACTGAAATCTCCAGGCTTTCATTGAGTTGGGGACAGGCTACCTCTTTCCATCTCCTTGTACTTCTGGAAGCCTCAGCAGTCATGCACATGCCTCAAAGTCACCACCCAATTAAAAATTTAACTCCAGCTATATCATCCAGTTAAAAATTTTGGACTTCCTGAAGTAACATCTCAAAGTCTACAACACTGATAAACCAGGAGTAGCACACCAGATTGCTTGGGATGTAACGTAGAAGGCAACCAGTCTCCATTAACAAAATATAAACACAGAAGGCTTAACCTGTAACAATATCTTAGTAATCTCTTATAAAAGGACTTAATGACTCCATGGACAACAAACTTAACTAACTTTCTTTTAAGGAAACATTTTGTGATAATTCTTTTAGCAAATTTTTTATAACAAACTATGTAAAATACACAACTACAGTCCTCCGCTCTACCAGCTGAGCTATCGAAGGAAGCGTATCGAAGGGCTGGAGCGATAGCACAGTGGTAGGGCGTTTGCCTTGCATGCAACCACCATGGTCGACCCGAGTTCGATTCCTCCGCCCCTCTCAGAGAGCCCGGCAAGCTACCGAGAGTATCTCGCCCGCACGGCAGAGCCTGGCAAGCTCCCCGTGACGTATTCGATATGCCAAACACAGTAACAACAAAGTCTCCAATGGAGACGTTACTGGGCCCGCTCGAGCAAATCGATGATCAACGGGAGGGCCTTTATGTAAAATAAATTGTTGAGGACCTGCTATAGGACAGGCTAAGGGGTAGATGGGAAAATTGGAAATAATGGTGGTGTAATGGTAGTGGGATTTGGTGTTGGAATATTGAATGTCTGTAACAAATCATTATGAATAACTTTGTAAATCATAGTGTTTATATAAAGTATAAGGCAAAAAAAAACTTTAAAGGGGGGTTGAGAGACAATATAGGGGTTAAGTAAAGTAAAGTAAAGGCCCTCCCGTTGATCATCGATTTGCTCGAGCGGGCCCAGTAACGTCTCCATTGGAGACTTTGTTGTTACTGTGTCTGGCATATCGAATACTCTCGGTATTGCCAGGCTCTCCGAGAGGGGCGGAGGAATCGAACTCGGGTCGGCCATGTTGGCCGCTTGTAAGGCGAACGCCCTACCCGCTGTGCTATCGCTCCAGCCCAACAACAATATAGGGGTTAAGGCACTGAGATCTAAGGTCAGACCCTGGCACCACATACGGTCCCCTTAGCATTACCAGGAATAAGTCCTGAGACTGCTGGATGTGACCTAAAACAAACAAGAAAACAAACAAAAAACAAAAACCACAATAGATATTTGTTGTTAAGGTGATGATACGAAATCAGAGAGTATGCACATTTAACAATGCCTACAACGATCTTTTAAAATGGTCACTTCTATGACATAAAACTTTCCAGAGGCTAAGGTATTTGCTTTGTATTTGGTTTCCAGTCCCAATTCAATCTCCACTGCATTTGGTTCCCCCAGAATTGCCTGGAGTGATTCCTGAGCACAGATCCAGGAGCAAGCTCTGAGGACAGCCAGGTATGGTCCTCCAAAACAAACATTGCATAGAAACCAATATTTTTCTATTTTTCCTGATTTTTCATAGAAATGGCTCTAAATTTTTATTTTATATTGGTTCTGAGGACTTAGAAACAGTATTAATTGGCTTATTAATTCAAGTTTTGTGGTTTCAGTGATGTCTAGCTAAGGAGATCCATTTCTGAACTTTCTATGTAGTTGGTTAAATGAATTTCTAAAAGTATTTCCACTCTGCAATCCTCAAAAACTATTTATCAAGTCATACAATTCAGCCCATATACCTTTTATGAGTACTTATTATAGCTAAGCAGGGTTTTATAGGATCATTGCCTTCTTACTCTTTCCAAATGATGTTGGTTCTTTGGATTCATTTCAACCAGGTGAGTAATACACAGCAGAGAGCCCAACCCTCTCCCCTCCAAAAACACCACCACCACCACCAACAAAAACAACAACAACAAAAACAATATATATGGACTAGACCAGGAAGAGAAAAGAGTTTATATTTTCAAATAAACCTTAGAAGTGCAATTTTATTTGTTTTGGAGGGCCATACCTGGCTGTGCTCAGTTATCTCCTGGATCTGTGCTCAGAAATTACTCCAGGCGGTGCTGGGGGGACCAAATGCAGTGCGGGGCATTGAATTGGGGCTATAAAGCAAATATAAAGCAAATGTCTTACCCCCTGTACAGTTTTCCGGCATAGAAATGACCATTTTCAAAGAAAATTGCAGGCATTGTTAAATGTGCATACTCTCGCCCAAATAACTCCCCTACCAGGAATGGGTGTTCTAGCTAGTGAGAAAACAGGTATTTTATTTCATTTAAGAATGTCTTTAAAAAGTTAGAAACATAACAAAATATTTGTATAATCACAAGTAAACATTACATCAGCAGGAAAATTCATTTCAACAGTTCCTTTCTTTCAAAACTATGTGTTCTTAAGAATGAATTTCCCATTATTTTGAATTAATTTTTATAATAGATGCTATTTTTGTTACAAGGAACTTGAATAGGCCTATAGTGAAATTGGTTTTTGTTCACATTCACAAAGTTAGGGCATTAGGCTTTGTTGTCCTTTTTATGAATGACAGTAATTTAAATCTAAAATAGTTTGACTGTTTTCCAAGAATTTTGCTTTGTGTGTCTTTATTCTATTATTTCATTCTTCTTAATGTATACAATTTAAGATTTTATATATTTTATATATTTTTCAATCGAATCTGACAATAGCAGGTTCTGGGTAGTTGCTGTCACCCAGATTTTCAACTGGGCTCTCTCCAGGCTCACTTTGTACAGATGCCCTAGTGCCAGACAATTGATTTACCTTAAATTGTGTCCATAGTAATTTTCTTCCCTTTAACTTTTGTGTCATGCATTTTGTGTGTTTCAAAATTCAATATTTAGAAGACTACCA